GTTAAATGTAAATAAAAATTCAATGATTTTTTAAAAAGTATATTTAGCCATTTTCAGTGTCACCTGTGTCAGAAGCCACTAACAGAAGAAGAAAATCCCAAACTTTTATTCTTCTGCATGTTTCACATACGCACGATATAAATTCTGGTCTGGTGCAGCTTGTCACAGTTAAACTACTTATTCCCCCTCAGAGCTGCAAAGATTCCAGTGTACTGTAGTTTGTACTGTAATCTACTTGCATTTATTTAGTGTTTTTCTAGTCTTACTGACCATTGCTAAAGACTGAAAATCACATTTTAATCAGCACATTTTTTATTTTAATTGTTTTACTTAATTCTACACACTTTAAGCATGTGACATCACATTTATAGCCAATTTAGAAAGACAAATCTACATATTGTGCATATTTTTGGACTGTGGATGGAAGCTCGAGTACTCGGAAGAAAGCCACATAGTCACAGGCAGAACATGCAAACTCCACACAGACAGGCCCCAGTCAGGCTTTAGGACTCTTCCTGCAGTGGGGCACTCCACCAATAATGGAGAAAATATGATGGGGTTTAGCAAATACATGTACAGCCAGTATGATAGGTGCCAAGACAGGAATGATGGTACTGCATAAGTCAGGAGTGGCAGAGAAATATGTGAGGGTGGTGCAAGACATGTATGAGGACAGCGAGACAATGTGAGGGTGTGGTAGGAATGAGAGGTGGGTTAAAGGTGGGGTTGGAATTATATCAGGAATCTCCTCTGAGTCACTCCTTAGGAAGGCTGGCTCTGTGGTCGACAGTGGCAGAGAAGAGGACACCAAAGAAACTAATGGAAATTATGGGCAATGCTGGGCATCCTCTGCATATGGTCATAATAAACAACCAGAGGAGTCTGTTCAGTGACAGGTTGCTTCTCCCAAAGTCTACTACCAACATACTTAAAAACTCCTTTGTCCCACACGCCATCAAACTGTTTACCTCCTCACTAGAGGGGAGAGGGACAGGAGGACAAAGGAGGGCGGGGACAACTAAGCTGTAGAGTTTGCACAACCAAACACTAAATAAGAACTAATCACTGTGCAGTGGACTGAAAAAATGTGCAGAAAATCTGAAAAAATACTAAATCAACACTTTAAGTCAACTTTGAATATTATGCCTGAGTCATTTTATGAATGTGTTTCAGCATTGCATTTCAGCCGGTGTTGTTGGGGATCTTCTCAAATTTGTATGAATTATGAGTGCAGAAGAGTGAAGTCAGATTTTGATCCATCATGCATTACTGCCTGGTAAACATTGTTTTTCCAACTGCTCTTTTGTCAGCATGACAGTGATCCCAAACACACCACAAATACAGAGAAAGCATAACTGAAGAGAAACATGCACGATGGAGCTCTACAAGCGATCTCCCCAAAGACCAACCTCAACACCATCGAACCAGTGTGGAATCGTTTTGACGAAGAACAGAACAAAACGACGTCATGTGTCAAAGAAGAGCTTTGAATGTCTCTCAGAAAGCCCGGAGAACGATTTCTGAAGACTACTCACATAAATTACAGTAAATTACACAAAGCTTGGTTGAGGTAGTTCAAGCTATGTTGAAGAATACAGCCGGTCGTACTAAACATTGACTTTTAAACTTTGTTGCCACAAACTCTGTTTTTGTATTCTATACAATATATCCCTGAATATTTGTGCATCCATCCATCTTCTTCCGCTTATCTGGGGCCAGGTCGTGGGGGCAGCAGCCCACGCATAGAAGCACAGACCTCCCTCCTCCAGCTTGTCCAGGGGAACACCAAGGACTTCCCAGGCCAGCCAAGAGATATAATATATGTCCATATATGTATATGTGCATGTTTCAATAAGTTGCTGAAAGTATTTCCCATTTTCCTGGCTAAATATAAAGACTTGAGACTTTTGCACAATGTCATAGATCAGATCAACAAACAAAAACAAATTCCACTGGAAATGGTCAGGTACAAGGACGGTCAGGTACTGGACTGAAAACAAGTGAAAAAGCAATATCGTTGTTTTTTTCAAAGTTGACCTTTACTCTAAAAGCTGCAAGGTCTGGTTGCTTGGAAACAAAAACTAAACAGAAAAGAGCAGTTTCAGAATTTTCCACAGGACTGTACACGCATAAATATCCGTCACACAGCGATACCGTCCGGTTTCTCTCCTAGCTGTTCCATACTTACCTATTAATTTCTTAATAATAAGAGGGTAAAAATGCACTCTTTGGAATTTCAATGTAGTGGTAATATCATAATAATGATCATTGCATTTACTGTGTTCATGGAAAAACAAGTGAAAAATCACCTTGACTGGTGAACTAATGCATCCACTCTATAACTGATCTTCATCACCATCGTTGAGCTCAGAAAGCCGTTCTTCCAATCCGATACCTTAGAGCGGGGCTGGCCCACCGAAGTATCCAAACTGGTCCACTGGATATCTTTGGAAAAACTGGGAATTTCAGACAAGAAGGGCATAAATATTAGACCTGTAAGTCTTCTTTCGGACAGAGTAAGTAACAGACAGATAATTCATTGACTTATGAATTATGACTGTTTTCCTCTCCTGAGTTAGTTTGCCAGAATCTCATCCAGGACGACTGCTGTGGTACCGGCCTGCTTCAAATCCACCTCCATTGTCCCGATACCCAAAAACTCCAACCCATCAAGCCTCAATGACTACCGCCCAGTAGCACTCACCCCCATCGTCACAAAGTGCTGAGAGCAGCTGGTCAACAACACCTACGCCAGAATGCTGTTTATAGACTTCAGCTCAGCGTTCAATACAATCCTCCCCTCACAACTCATCAGGAAACTGACAGGCCTGGGCATCAGTTCTCTCATCTGCAAATGGTTACTGGACTTCCTGACCAACCGGCCCCAACATGTCCGGCTGGATAACCGCTGCTCATCTACCATCACAATGAACAGTGTACCATAAGGCTGTGTGACGAGCCCTTTCCTCTACTCCCTCTTCACCCACGACTGCAGACTTGCTGATGGTTCCAACACCATCATTAAGTTTGCAGATGACACCACGGTGATTGGCCTCATCAATGACGAAGATGAGGCTTAGAAATGTGCTTAGAAATTTCCTCCTGCACCTCACCTCCATCATCAATAAAATCATCCATTTCTGAGTCATACTCATCTTCCTCATCCTCATATTTCCTCTTGTATGCAACGCCGAGAAGACCAAGGAGCTCATCGTGGACTACAGGAGGAATGCTGACCCACATCCACCCATCCACATTAAGGGGACGGCTGTGGAGCGTGTGAGCAGCTTCAAGTTCCTGGGAGTCCACATCACATTTCTGTATAGTTTTCATATTTATATCCTTTTCATAGTCTGTACATAGCTTCTACACCACTACAGCCTGTACATACTTACAGTTATAGCATATTCATAACTTCCTACTGTGTACACTATTACATACCATAATAGACCCATTTCTGTAATGTATTTATATATCTATACTATTGCTAATATATATTTGTAATATATCTATATCATGGCTAAAGCACTTTTGGATAGATGCGAACTGCATTTCTTTGCTTTGTACTTGTGACACGTGCAATGACAATAAAAAATTCAAAAGCATCATAAAATTCCTCTCACACCACAATTTTGCTTTAGCAACTGATACCTAAGAGGTATCTAGTACAAATACGTCCAGTTTCCTGTGCACATCAAAGTGATGTGTAACTTTCTAATAAAAACACTTAAAACTAAGGTTTCACTGCTAAAAAGCAGCTTCAGCTCAAAGTGTGCAATATGCTGTTGAAACTTGTGCATTCTGCCTGCAGATTTGATTTTTTTTTAAAAGCTGCTTTCAGCTATTTGTTGTGGTTTGGCAGAGTTTTATATGAGACGCCCTTCCTACCACAACACCTGGGGCTGGAATCAAACCACTGACTCTTTGCCTGTTAGGCAAATGTGCAAACCACTACAATATGGAGTCACATGTGTGTTATTCCTGTGTTAATAACTAACCACTTTAGTAGCACTTAAAAAAATAATAATAAGGCCACTAAGTCACATCTCTGCTGCTGTAGCTGACGAGTGTTTCGTGCTGTGGAGAGGTTGAGTCCCACAGCAGACGAGTGAAAAAAGTGTCAGTTTTGCTTTTCTTGTGCGACTTGAGCCCACGTGTGAAACTGTTGGAATAAACTACTGTTGTGCTCACACGTGAGATGTTGATGAAACGTTACAGAAGATCTTTTCATTTAACATCTTTTGTCACCCCTGACATGGCGCGAGCTGTGACTGTCTCCACACGATGATGAAGCAGTGTGTTTGTGTTTTGGCTCACACACACTAAACACTGGGTTCATCTAGACACGCATGCTCCACCATGTTTCAGCTGAGGCGTCTTTCCAATCACTTCAGCTGAAACAGTTTAACTAAGCACACAGAGCAATGCTGTTAACAAGTCTCCTGTCTGCAATGACCTGAGTGGATTTTTTTTACAATTTCTTGTAGCGCTTAGTTTATTGGCCTGTGGCTTTGAACTTTGCCCACAATGCTGGAGCTTTAAGGCAGTAACAGGACTCTGTTTGTACATCCTGCTTGTTCCCACTGTGCGGTAAGAGGAATCAGAAGTGGCTTGTTAACACATTAAGCTGTCAGTAAGTCTCTGTTGTCTTCAAACACTATGTTAGTCACCAACAGCTAAGCCAAAGGGAAGAGGACACACTTTATTTATCTGTTCTGCCCCTGCCTTTTGTTGCTTGGCCTCTGTGACTGGTTTACACAATCTCTGTGTGTTCGTGCCTGTATGACGCAAAGAGAGAGTGTGTATTTATCCTAAATATTCATGCACAGCTCTTCTCGCTGCATTTTGTATTCACAATGAAATATTCTCCCTGAGTGGACTGAAGTTGTTTACACTAACCCCTCAGTCTGTGTGTGTGCGTGTGTGTGTGTGTGTGTGTGTGTGTGGGGGGTAGTACGTAACACCGCTCCATGCCTACTCTCTCTTCAGATAAAGAGGAACTCTTTCAGAATGTACTGACGCGAGCAGCAGAGCAGTTTTCAAAGTAAGCAGATAGGTGAGTGCGCATGTTTCAGTCTAAATTTACTGTAAATGGTTTCTTTACACTCTGTTCTAACACCGTCTTTTATATTCCTTCTTTCAATTAGCTTGGCTTGGGGGTTTTGTAGAGCATTGTCCAGAAAACAGCAAACCTTTTATCTCCAAAACCTGAAACAGAATGATGAAAATGTCGGTTTTATAACTGCTGTGGCTTTTCTTTCATGTTCTTCACTTTGTATTAATTCAACGAGGCTATAACCCCACCTCGAGTTAACAGCAGCTGCAACTTGTTAATGTTACTGCTAGTTGTCTGTTGTTGTCGTCGTATCTCTTCATCCGTATCTGCCTCTTTGAACTTTCACTTGTTGTTCCACAGATGATTCTGCTGCTTTTGCTCTCATGTCATTTTCAAGCCAATGAAACATTTACGCAGTGTTGTTAGTGCTGTAATTCTGCAGTAGAGCAGAGCTTTGGTGGTTTGTCAAAGTCTGAAGCTGAAATAAAGGATCTTCATGTCTGAAAATAAATTTGCTGTGAGCAGTGAATTTGCACCTGCTGTGTTTTAAGACGAGCAGAAGAATATTTAACATTATTTGACTTACTGTCACATTTTTAATACAATAACATGTTTATGTATCTATGTAGCATTCTGCATGTGCTTCCTTATGACAGATGAGGTATGAAGACGGGCACCTGAAAGAGTTAAAATACAGCGACAGGCCAAAAATGAATAAACAACGGATATGGATTAATGTGAACACGTTCACAAGAATATAAATACTCTTGCTCTTACTAAGACAAAAACTATGTGTAAACATAACTGTTCATTGATCATTAAGCTTCTCCATGAGCTCCCTCGCTCCTTTATGAACTGTCAAGCTGGAGCAGTCATGCCAAATCTTGAAGCACCTTAATCTTTGAAGATATACTTACTGTAGACATTAGAAGTAAATATATGGAGTAGAGCAGTGCAGGAATGTGCAGTTCGGTATCAGTATTTGGACCATGACACAATTATTTGTCCTCATGACACCACAGTGTAATTTCAGGTTGAAAGAGAGACTTTGTCTCAGAGAGGAGACTGTGTGGAGTGGAGAATAGGGGACACAAAAGCAAACAATACAAAGCATGGAAATAAGCTTAATATTAACTGAAAGCGAGCCGTTTTATTACAGGCTGGTTTTAACTGTACAAAACAAGAGCCGAAAGCAAAACTAAACACTACATTAAACTGGGTGAACTAAGGATAAACATAAGAAACCCTGAAAGTGAATATGAAAACATGAACCGTGAAGACTTGGCATAAGTACATGAAATCCTGGAAAACATGGCGTGAGCATAGCAGGATAGCAGACAATCAGTCAAGGAATAAATGCAGACTCAAGGACACACAGGATGTGATCAGGGCAAACACATGTGGAAACAGCTGGGTGGAATGAACATAATGATGCCACAGGGGAAGTAGAACTAAACACAATGAACATGGGACACCAGACCTCTTCAAAATAAAAGAGGAAAGATGAACACATGACACATGGCAGTCTAAGACACACAGACTTAACATAACAAACTGACGAGGAATACGCACATTATAAATACACACAGAGGAAAAAGGGAACTGGAGATGAAACATAGACATAAGCACGCACAAACTGAACATGATGGGTGCGGAAACACACACATGATGGATGGAAAGGGACTTGAGGGAAAACATGTAAACAAGAGGAGAAGACGGGAGACAAGGACATAAACACAAGGGCCGAAGACACAAGAGGAATCTAATAGAAAAGAAACTATAACTGGGCAAACTAGGCAAAATAGATGAGATAAAGATAACTGCATGAACTTAAACATAAACATCAAAATAGATTAAAAAGCAAAGCGCTGGGTCAAATGAGCCAGGATGGTGGCAGATTTTCACCTTTAATTAGTGACTTTTTTAGAAGCTGTTAATTGTTGATTTGATTTTAATTGTTTGGTTTAGAGTCCCAGATGGTGGCCTTTCCATTTTCATTAACAACTTCTCCATTTCCTATTTCCCACCTACTTCCATGTGTCTGCAGGGCATTCAAAATCAACAAGCTGAAGACTGAGGTCACCAACTGTCTCACAATGTTGGAAAAGAGAGTAGAGCGTAAGTTCGTTCCCACCACTCTACAGTCACATTTACTGTCTTCCGTCATCAGCTGTTAATCTTGGATATAAAAGACACATTTGAAAAAGGAATGCAGTGTTTGATTAGTCATCACTATCCTCGTGACTTATAGCCAACTCACTGAAAAGTCAATGATCATATATGTCACATAGAAAGTGACACATTATGTGTTTATAGCCCCATTTTGGATTTGGGAGACAAACCTCCAACAGGTTCTGCTGAAGGGTTCTTCCTGTTTAAAGGAAGTTGTTCCTTTTCACTGTGCTTGCTTAAAGGGGGTCATATGATTGTTTGGGCTTTCTCTCTATTATTGTTGGTTCTCTGTCTTATAATATAAAGTGTTTTGCAGCACTCTTGTCATTTGGTGCTATATAAATTCAATTGAATGGCCGAGGCACCCAGGATCTCTCTTCTGGACTATACCCCTCCCAGTCCACGAGACAGGCCAAACATCCAGTAACCTCATCACAGAGTAGGCAGGTAGTGGCCAGAGGTCACAGACGGCTGGAACAGACTGGTTTAACCCTCGATACATTGCAAGACTTACAAATGTTCATATTTCTGGGTAATTTGAGATGCATGTGACGGGATTTATGACTGACTGAAACCAGTGAAACTGGGAGACAGTTCCCTTGACTGAGTGCGGAGAGGAATGTGTTAAGCAAATAACGAGACTTTCTGACCTGGAAAATATGTTGGAACAGGAAGACAGTGATGATCGATTTGTTGTCTGTTCTGGGAGGAAGTCCTGACCAGTGTGGTTCCAGTTAATTTTCCACAGACGTCTTCAGCGACAGAGATGAAGTTAAACAAATGGGACACTGAGATCAGCTTCTTGGGATGGGAACAGAGGTAGGCTGGAGCCTATTGCAGCTACTGTAGTACAAGAGGCAAGGTACACCCTGAACAGGTCACCAACCTCACACAGGGCTAACACATAGAGAGAGACACACTTTAGAATCACCAGTTAACCTAATCTCACTACCTGCATTTGGACTGTACCCAGAGAAAACAAAACGGGGAGAACATGCCAACGCCACAGAGAAAGGCCCCGGCCAGATGGTGGAGTTGAACTGAGGACCTTCTCGCCCTCTCGGCAGGTGTGGCAGGGCATCTAGCATATCACCTACTTCAGAGGGCAGACCCATGCAGAAGAACTGTCTCATGCCTTGACATCCTGGTCAGGAAACTGTCTGAACTGGGATTCCCCCCTCCCACTTGCTCTTGGTTCATTAGCAACCTTCCAAACTCAGTCCACACCTTTCCTCTGCTGAGCACTGGCTCCCCACAAAGGTGTATGTTGAGCCTATGGCTCTACAGCCTCTACACCTCTGTCTGCAGACCTGCTTACACCAGCAAGACCATAGGGAAGTTTGCAGGTGATGATGATGACTCTGCCACAGAGACGATGTAATGAATCTGTCTGCATTATGTTGAGTAGACAGTGAACACCACAATGACACAGGAGATGATCCTGGACTTCAGAAGACACAGAGCAGACCACCTTTACCTCTACATAAATGATGACCCTGTGGAGAGACTTCAGGATTTCACATTCCTGGGCACCGTGATCTCTTCCAACCTCTCCTGGACTGTAAACACCTCCTCCATAATCAGGAAGGCACAGCAGTGTCTGCAATACTTCACAGTGCACAGAAGAAATAGCATTTGTAAGAAGACCGTCTAACGCTCCACTCATCCTGCATCTCACCTGTTCAAACTGCAGCCCTCTAGGAGATGCTGCACATTCATCCAAACCAGGACCAGCTTCTTTTGACAAGCCGTCGCGGTACTGAACACACACACACACATCACCCCAGCACAAGACGAGTGCAATACTTCAGAGCAAACCTTGGACATCTGTATAGTCTGGTAGCCCAACTCCTCCAGGATCACAGAGCAAAACAGTCACCATCTACCGGAACCAAATTCCTTGTATGTGTCTGCACATATACATGGCCAATAAACACAACTCTGATTCTGACTCTGATTCTTTCTGATTACCAGAAGGTTTGCTGTGTCTTTCAAAGTATTTTTGTTTATGTCTGCCAGCACAGCCTCAAGCAGATATCAAAACATGCCATTATCAGAAAATTTGCTGCATCTTTCCCAGCACAGTCTCAACAGCATGGAGGGAATTCCAGGAGACAGGCAGTTACTCTAGCACAGGAATGTCAAAGTCACTTTACATCACGGGCCAAGAACATGCTTTAGGTCATGGAAGATGAAGGCCCTAACACCGCTGGCTGGCACTCACACTTGACAAACTAAATCCAGTAAAACACCTCTGAGATATTAAATCAAACCATAACTGAGCCTCCACCGTGACAAAAGACTGTAGACACTTACTATTTTGTAAGTGTACATATTTTATATTCACTTCTTAATCCCTGTTTAAGGCTCCGTCGTTTTTTTTCTCGATGTTTCCACTCCTAAAGAATGACATCTTCTCAGTCACTCATCCACTGAGACAGGTTCTGATAAATCTATTCATGGATCCACAGGGGCGTAATTTCCAGGGGAGTTAGGGGGGTTGTGACCCCCGCAATAATCAGACCCAACCAATATAGCCCCCCCAATAAAATTATGAATTATCTTGTATAAATAGGCTGTTGGTTTTCTTTACTTATTTCAGTTATTATCAGCAAAATAGTTGCATGTTTAATCATCTGGAAATTTACCCAGATTTATTTATTTATTTGTTTAGACAGAGACCTTGACTCCCCCAGTGTTCAGCACACCATCATGGTTCTGGGTCTTCGTCCCAGAATTTTCAATTTATGTTGTGGTCTCATGATTTGGTTTCTTTTAGGGTTTGAGATGATTTATGATCTATTTCTATATCTTGTACTTTGGAGTTTTAGATTGTTCACTAGTTTTGTTTTCTGTGCTCTTCTGAAGATGATCTTAGTTTCTGTTTTTGTGTAGTCCATCTTAGTCTTGTCTCTGTGATTGTATCCCTTTCTGTCCCCATTGTTGTGTCCCTATGTCCCTGTGCTTTGGTTAGCTAGCACCCTGTCTCTGTGCTCACTGTTTAGTTCTGTCAGGTTAGTATGTTTTAGTCCTGGTGCCAGGGATTATTACTTCCTGTTTTATTTTGATAGGTCCTCTTGTGAGCTATTGTCTCCTTGTCTCATTAGTTAGACTGAGTTCAGCTGTAGTTCCCAGTTGTCTTCACTCTGCCCTCCTCTTGTGTATTGATGACCTCCATTTGCCTCTGTTCTGTCACATCCTTCTTCTTGCTGTGTGCCTTGTGTGTTCCTCCAAGTTCCATGGTTTCCATTAAAGTGTGAAAGTTTTTGGTGTCTATGTTTTGACCTTCATTATTTTGTACTCTATTTTTAACCAGATATGGACTTCTATTTATTTAGAAGCCCACATCTGGTTTGTGGAGAGCAGATTGTTGTGTTTAATGATTATGATTTGAATCACCATTATGAGACTAAACACACAGAGAAATATCAGAAACCTAATTTATATGGAGCTGGAAAAATTGCTCATGAGGCTACACTTTTTACTGAGATTTACACCTCCATTGATGGAGTTGTCATGTCATTCTCTGTTACGAGATTATTAAAGTGTTTACTGTCCCTCTAATATGCTCAGAGAAAAAAAAGAAGAATCTGAAAATGTGCCCCTCCCCAGGCAAGTCATAACACACAGAAGGCATCTGTAACTGAAAGAAAAAAAATAATTGGGCAAGAGAAACGAATCACAGTCACGCTTTTGTAGGGGCAGAAAATGGTGACAGAGGCTAGCAGACAGCTGTGAGGAGGACTGGCCTGGAAAAAATGTTAAAAACAACATGGAAGAATGAAAGATGTGGAAGCTTACTCATTGTTCATGTGACACGCTTTGCATTTCCACCTCAGATACTGAACATGGCTTTAATACACTATTGTCCAAGCTCAGAAACAGGCTAGATTTCTCTTACTAACCAAGAAAAAACCCTGAAAACACATGAAGTAAATAAACTACAAGTAACATGACTATAGCATTTTCTATAAAGTAGTCTTTGAAATGTTGCAAAAATATGCTCGTTTCTCACAACTCTTTTGGCGAATGTTGATTAAATACTAATAAAATGTTGATGTTATTACTACACCTACAGTATGTCTATTTACTAAATAAATATTAAGCAGAAACGAGTTTAGCTTATTAATGCGACTCCACAGGACTTGCAGTTTCTCATCTCTCGTCTGTTTCTCAAGGGAATTTCTCCCAAGACAATTGAGCAAAGAAACAATTTGAAATTATTTATTTAGGCACTTTGTTACTGACAGCCTTTTGCAAAAACACATTATTAGCATTAGTTTAAGAGTGCATATTTATGCAACCAGGTTTTTATACGTTTTTCATTTTTATTTTCCCCCTAAAACAGGGGTGTCAAACTCAAATACACAGTGGGCCAAAATTCAAAACTGGAACAAAGTCGCGGGCTAACGTTAATATTTATTGAAATATATTTATTGAAATATATTTATTCCTCCAGATATAAGAATGAATCTTTTCTTATTGACTCAAACACGTTTTGCTGAAAAACTGAATATGGAACAAGCAAAGCTTAATACTAAACAATATATACATTAGCTGTATAATACCAGTAGGCCAGCTCTAATAATAATTTGGTATGGCTTCGCGGGCCAAATGTAATTAGGCTGCGGGCCAAATTTGGCCCGCGGGCCAGAGTTTGACACCTATGCCCTAAAAGATTGTTTTGCAAAATGAACTGTTTTCTCAAATGTCATAGCAATTCTCTGGAATTCTGTGGCTAAAAACAGGTTTTACATGAACCTCTTTCTGTATGGAGATTTATCAGATCATGGTGTTGTGTCAAATTATGTAGTTCGATTTTCTGAAATTCAACTTTCTGCAATAGAGGTATAAAACTATAGAAAAGACTTCACCATTAGATTACTGTAATGCTCAGCCTCATTCATGCACATTAGCGTACAGGTAACCGAGCACCTTCAATGCATTTTGTCTGAAGTTGTGTTCCTCTACAGTTAATGATACTGTGATTAGATAAGTTGATGCCCCACTGTGTGTGTGGTCTGCTAACCCACCTTGGGAGGCAGTTAACTTTGAGATCATTAGAGTCTGTTGAACATTGACCTGTTCAGAGTATAAAAGTGTGTGCTGTCATTTTATACTTACACAACATCCAATGTAAGGTCATGCACCAATGCCATTTCCTCTAGCAAGCTTCTACCATTTTATTAAGTGCAAGCGGGAACTTTGCACTTCTGAGGCTGCCGAATTGTTCACCGTGCTGCTAGACTTAGTTTAACCAGCTTGTCTGATGGCGTCTTGGCAGGCAATACAAAGTTATGCAATATGATCAATGAATGTTGTGATCGTCTTACTTTTCTTATTCTTTTATCTTTTATAATATAGGATTTCTAGGAGTTTATTGTTAAAGTAATTACCAGCAGGAACAATTATTCTGTCGTTGTTTAGCAATGATTGCAGTGATTCAAGCAAGGCTATAATTATAGGCTATAATCTCCGGATAACAAACGTGCATTTTGTGTTTATTTGTGCTATCTTTGATATTTACATTTGTTTGATAATCGAAACATTTAAGTGCAACAAACATACAAAATAGTAGTAAATCAGGAAATGTAGTTATCACACCTGTTTTATTAACTGTGTGTTAACACTTTATATTAAGGTACCACCATAAAGTTCCACATGACTTATTAGCATAGCATGCAAAAAACACCAAAGAAAAAAACCATAAAAGCATAACTAGAACAGGGTTCAAGATTGCGTGATCCAGTAAGCTTGTAAGCTTTTCAAAAAAAGTACATTTGAAACTTAAAAAGTAAAGTTTAAAAGTAAAGACTGTGTCTGTTTTCTGAATCCAAGATGATCAAAGTGGTAGAAACACTTTTTTTCTGTTGTATTGCAAATAAAGCTAAAGTAGTTATTCAAAGCAGCTAATGAAGCTCACTAACTCTGTGATGCATGATTTCTGCACTGTGAGGGCATCTTAGTGATGTAATCATGTGTTCAGAACAAAGTGAAGGTTTTTGCCAGTTTTTGATGCAACAGCAGCAGAACAACTCAGCAGGGCGGACATCAAGAGCACACCATTAATTATGGCTTTAAACACAGCTGTTCAAACCTCATTAAATCCTGACTGTGATGACCTCTCAACATCACACTTTGGCAAAACACAACTCAAGATTTCTCCATGAAAGATATGAGAGTGCATCCTCTGCAAGTGCTCTGTCTCTATTCAATTCAATTCAATTCAATTTTATTTATATAGCGCTAAATCACAACATAAGTCGCCTCAAGGCGCTTCATAGAAAAACCCAACAATCACATGACCCC